AGGTTTAAACTTGTTGACTACTGATGAAACGGATCAACATGAAAACCACTAAATAATGAAAGTTCCTAAAACTGACAGATTTGAAGAATGAAGCAGATGAAGTATTTCCCTGACGTGGAATCAGTTTTCAGCTCCTGACATTCTCAAAGATAAAATTATTCCCAACGCGACAGCACTGTTCCCTCGTTCCTAAAATCTTTCAATTAAAGAGAAGAGCAGAAAATGTTTTTATTATAAAGTGCTTCTCATAATGACCGCGCTGGCATTTCTGAGGAAGATGTCATTCTCGTCTTCCTCTCACACACGGTTTTAAGAGTCTAATTGGCCGAGGAACTGAGACACATTTGCTAATGATACTGAAAACATGGCGAGTCGGAGGAGCTCCGTCATTCTCTCTAATGAAGCTCTGGACTCCCAAACTTTAGTCTAAAGTGTCTCAAACTACATGAGTCTGCAGAACCATTTTCTCAAATCTACAACGCAGCCGAGAGCTGCAGGAACAATAATCTGTGTACATTTCATCTCCGCACGCTAAAGACTGAACTGAAACCTTCAGAATGAAGCAAGAGATGATAGAGATGAACAGAAAAAAACAGTCAACAAACGTCATCAAACCCTAACTCACGAATGACGAACAATCGACTAAAGCAAGTATTGTAACAATCGGTTTCTGTGCACGGGTCTAAGCTCTTCAGGACGCTTTATGATATAAACAGTTTAGAAATGGCTGCACAATGTTGATATATGTGACTACATGTGCCATTCATCATACTAAAATCTGACGCATTAAATCGATGTGGAGCTGCTTCTGTTCAAGGCTGTTGGAGTTAAAGGTCAGCCTGTTTTCAATCAGGCTGTCTCCGACTTTATATCAACCCTTATTGCAATGACCAGCTTTCTGCGTTTGCCCTCACTAAAACAGCCAGCAGTTTAACACAAAAATAAAAACATCTTCCTCACAGTTTAGCCAGTGTCAAGCAGACTTTACTGTGGCTCTTTCAGTGAGAATACATCAGATCTGAACCTCACCTCTCTACTTCTGCATCAGTGTGCAATGAAATCTCAAGCACTTCATACAAACTCTCATTTCTACTGGGAAACTGAAGTTCATGAACAGATGCAGACTGGAGGCAGAACACTAACTCACGAATGACGAACAATCGACTAAAGCAAGTATTGTAACAATCGGTTTCTGTGCACGGGTCTAAGCTCTTCAGGACGCTTTATGATATAAACAGTTTAGAAATGGCTGCACAATGTTGATATATGTGACTACATGTGCCATTCATCATACTAAAATCTGACGCATTAAATCGATGTGGAGCTGCTTCTGTTCAAGGCTGTTGGAGTTAAAGGTCAGCCTGTTTTCAATCAGGCTGTCTCCGACTTTATATCAACCCTTATTGCAATGACCAGCTTTCTGCGTTTGCCCTCACTAAAACAGCCAGCAGTTTAACACAAAAATAAAAACATCTTCCTCACAGTTTAGCCAGTGTCAAGCAGACTTTACTGTGGCTCTTTCAGTGAGAATACATCAGATCTGAACCTCACCTCTCTACTTCTGCATCAGTGTGCAATGAAATCTCAAGCACTTCATACAAACTCTCATTTCTACTGGGAAACTGAAGTTCATGAACAGATGCAGACTGGAGGCAGAAAGTGGGATATCTGGTGATTTTTAGATCAATAAGCAATTTACGTTGATCCAGCGCCGCAGGCCTGATTTATGACGCGCTGGGGCCCAAAGCGAGCCGTGGGTTCCGGGTCGCCGCTCTGCTGGAGTCTCTCCTATCGGTCCAGAGGAGGAACAGCGAGTCTCTTTATGAAGGATAGCAGATATGCTTAAATGAACGAGACAATCTGACAACAATAAAATGCTCAACAATATAGTCACAAGACAAATAATATGCAGGATTTTAGTGACAAATTATTTACTAACCTCTGTTGGCATGATGCCTAAAACCATAAAATGACAAAAACTAATTTACAGCTTGAATAATACATGACTTTAACAGAATAATGTAAGTGCATTGATAAAATAAGCTACATTTCTGCTTTGGTGCATCACCATAACTTCTTTATTAAGTGTATAACTCATCTTTTGTTGTTTCAGATTCACTCACGGACTCTCAAGTCAAGTCAGTTTTATTTGTAGAGCTCTTTTCTCAGTGCACATTGTTTCAAAGCACCTTTACACTAAATCATCATATGTAATGTTTATAATATGCGAACATCTTCATGCCTTTAGCAGATTAGAGCTGAATGATAACATTTGAGTATTTGACAGCGATGCACAGATTAAGAGTTAATAACAGAGCTGAACATCATGAAAATCATTTGCTTCCGGTATTTCTATAAAAATGGGATCGGTTCTGTTTTCCCAGCCCTAGCAAGAAATCGTCTCTACACAGTAAAATGGGACCCAAACAGAAAATAAATCACACATTCACTCATCTCAGGCATTTCATATGATCTGTGTGTAAAGTCTAACAGATTTCCCATGGAGCCACAGAGAAAAGCTTTCTTTCTACGAGATTCTCTCTGTCTCCAAACAAACTCACAGAGGGCTTCAGGATCTCGAGGAATCGGAGCGGTTTGGGTAACATCTTCACAGGAGATTCAGCCATGCGAACACAAGACACAATGACTGCTTACAGTGTGCTGCATCTATGTCTTGTTCTACGAACCATTAAAACACTCCTGAAAGCACACAGTCATCTCTCAGCGACCTGAAGGGCACTGACACGCTAATAAGATAACGGGCTGATCTTTCTTACATCTGTTTGCTTACATTCATCCAGTCATCTACACTGTGATCCGGGTGTCACGTCGTGCTGAGTTCCTCGAGCGTCTGTGACTGTGATTAGCTACATATAGCTTATGTTCGTCAGCAGTTATTGTGACAAAACGATTGAACAGTGAGAACCGCCGTTATCACTGACGAGAGCCGAGAATCACTGACCTGCGAGACAAAACTCATGAGGAACCAATACTTTCCTGCATTACTTCATTTCAGCTGCTAAAGTCAAAGCCGGTCCTGACCAGGTGAAAACACGCAAGTCTTACTGCTGTGAAATTTATCAGATAAAAATAATCATTCTAGTTCCTATAAAGGCTGTAATGAAGCAGATCTGCGGTCTATTTTCAGACGTATGACCTGAAGAGACTCTTGCGTTCAGACTCACATTTGCACTTCAAATGCAGCAGAAACTGAATTAATGCAAAATAAAGAAATGAGATTCATCTGGTATTTCTGCCCTTCAGGAATCAGAATTCCCAGCAGTTCTTCAGCATCCATTTGAACATCTCTCTGGCTATTTGTCTGATGAAAGGAAATGAATGTTTGTCGTTCAGAAGAAGACGAAAAACATTATCAGTAAAGATGAGCGAGAGGAATCACTTATTAAACGATACACAATAATTCAGACACTCAGGCTTGATGTCAGACAGAGCAGAGAATCCAAACTGCAGAGACTGAGAACACAGAGCAAACACACAGAAAGTGCTACGACAGAAACATGTATTTGCATGTGACCGTGATAATACCACATCACATGCACTTTCTTGGGTATTCTTTTAAGTATCTTGATTGCATGCTAACAGTGTTGGGGAAAGTTACTTTTCAAAGTAATGCATTACAATATGACGTTACTCTCTACAAAAGTAACTAACTGCATTTATTACTTTTTATGTGAAATAATGTGTTACATTTCCATTACAATAACACTCTTATTTCAGCAATAAATTTAAAAACCCACAAATGAGATGTTCAACTAAAGTCACTTTTGCTGATCTGAATGGCTGAATTGGACCATCAAAGGTCAGCAGTGAGATTAAACACAAAGTATATTTGTGTTATTTAACAGATTTAATTATTGCGGGTTTCTTTTATTTTCTAGGAATACTGAATCTGCGAGTGAGAATAAATGCAGTTTAGTCTAGATCTACAGTAGCATCATGTTCACACAGCGCTCTGCACTCACTCCTGATTCTCTCAGCATGAGGACAGGAGAGCTGTCAGTCAATACATGGGAAACTAAGTAGCTGGCATTACTTATTTGAAAAAGTAATGCATTACTTTACTGGTTACTGGTACTTGAAAAAAGTAATCTGATTACGTAACTCGAGTTACTTGTAATGTGTTACCCCCAACACTGGCCACCGCAAACTCACTGCATACAGTGACAGAGCACAAACTATCAGCCACACACACACAGTAACCTGAGTGATATATATGTGTGTGTGTCTTTGCAGATTTTTCGTCATGTATCTCATCAACAAGGATGAGACGGAGCACACAGGCCAGGTATTTCCCATCATCCCCTCTATCATTCTAGTTCCTATAAAGGCTGTAATGAAGCAGATCTGCGGTCTATTTTCAGACGTATGACCTGAAGAGACTCTTGCGTTCAGACTCACATTTGCACTTCAAATGCAGCAGAAACTGAATTAATGCAAAATAAAGAAATGAGATTCATCTGGTATTTCTGCCCTTCAGGAATCAGAATTCCCAGCAGTTCTTCAGCATCCATTTGAACATCTCTCTGCTATTTGTCTGATGAAAGGAAATTAATGTTTGTCGTTCAGAAGAAGACGAAAAACATTATCAGTAAAGATGAGCGAGAGGAATCACTTATTAAACGATACACAATAATTCAGACACTCAGGCTTGATGTCAGACAGAGCAGAGAATCCAAACTGCAGAGACTGAGAACACAGAGCAAACACACAGAAAGTGCTACGACAGAAACGTGTATTTGCATGTGACCGTGATAATACCACATCACATGCACTTTCTTGGGTATTCTTTTAAGTATCTTGATTGCATGCTAACAGTGTTGGGGAAAGTTACTTTTCAAAGTAATGCATTACAATATGACGTTACTCTCTACAAAAGTAACTAACTGCATTTATTACTTTTTATGTGAAATAATGTGTTACATTTCCATTACAATAACACTCTTATTTCAGCAATAAATTTAAAAACCCACAAATGAGATGTTCAACTAAAGTCACTTTTGCTGATCTGAATGGCTGAATTGGACCATCAAAGGTCAGCAGTGAGATTAAACACAAAGTATATTTGTGTTATTTAACAGATTTAATTATTGCGGGTTTCTTTTATTTTCTAGGAATACTGAATCTGCGAGTGAGAATAAATGCAGTTTAGTCTAGATCTACAGTAGCATCATGTTCACACAGCGCTCTGCACTCACTCCTGATTCTCTCAGCATGAGGACAGGAGAGCTGTCAGTCAATACATGGGAAACTAAGTAGCTGGCATTACTTATTTGAAAAAGTAATGCATTACTTTACTGGTTACTGGTACTTGAAAAAAGTAATCTGATTACGTAACTCGAGTTACTTGTAATGTGTTACCCCCAACACTGCATGCAAATAATTGCATGGTAATCATTTGGATATCATGGTTTTTCCATCAGTATGTGTTGTTTCCTCAAGTTACATGATGGAGTGTGGAGGCAAGCTCTGCTCAGTCCCTTTCTCTGAATCCTGTATTCTGCAGAAACGGGGCTTGAAGCGATTGACCTCCTCCCGGCGGGTCGCTCCGTCTGACAGCTCAGTAACGAGCAGCGGGCTGCGGCTTTAAGAGCCTGGAGCTGCTGCTGATGGACAGAGGGCCTGATCACGGTGCTGCACCGTGAGGCCCGCGGGCGCATGTTTTCTGACGTCTGGTCTTGTCATGGAGCAGCGCTGTGAGGCTCTTCTCTGTCACAGACTGACAGCTTGGTTTGCCTGACATCACGTCTATATTACCCACAATGCCCACAGGAACACGTCTGTCTGATTCTCAACGTGTTGTTTCTCCAGCAGATGTGTGCAGATTTAATCAAACTAATCTTTAATATGATCAAGGACCAAAACCCCACAAAATGCACAAACAGCTGCCTCTTTGAACTCTGAGCCAGAGAAAGGCAGAGATGCGTGAGGAAATAAAGCAGATGGTGAAACCAGAATCGATCACAAACCCGTTCACACTGCGGGTAAATACGGTGTCGCTCCTCTTCTGTTCACACACACTTCACAACAAGAGAACGCGTCTCAGCTTATTCACGATTGTTCATCAGTCCTGCGGTCTCAGAGAAACACAGATCAGGATCAGAGAGAGCAGGAGTGTCTGTGGAGATTCACTAATAAATCACAGATTGTAATGTCTCTATTTGTTAATATTTCTAAATCTCTGAGTGTGTATGCGAGTCTCTGTGAAGACGAGGCCCATGTGTATTTTATAAATCTGGAATTATTGTGCGATTTATTCTCTTTTAATTTCCATTCACTGATTCATTATGCCTGTTTTAAATCATAATGGGAATTTTAAATTAATATTTATTTTGTTTACTAAAAAACATGCAGGATAAAACATGATGAAGCAGATGAAGATGTGTCATGCAGTGTTAAATCTGCACCACTTTAACTGAATGTGAATTAATTTGTTGAACTGAATGACTGATGCAAAGACGGCATGAATACTACTTATGCACCCTCTCTAATGGAGCAGACGTAAAAATAAACAGATCTACACCGAAGCAGGTCTGCTTCAGCGCTGCACACTAAACACTAGATCAGCCGTTTATTCTGCTTCCACACAGAGCTTATTCTGAAAGATTGAGATCTAAATCAAGCTCAACGTTGACTTCTCCAGACAAACCGATTGGAATCACAGATGATTTTCTCTTTTAAAAAGACTTGATTCATCTTCTCTGTCAGGGCAGAACTGTTAAACAGGTGATGATTGAATCCTTCTGTTTCTCTGTGGCTGAGCTCAGGCGAGTGTTTGACGCTCAGTGACTGTATGAGCCCGTCGTTTCTAAGGTCAAACTCATTCAGGGAGCAGAAGAGAGAGAAGCCCGACACACCGAGCGCAGATGTGCGTTTGAAATCCGTACGCTACAAAGACTGGGTTCTGCCAGCGAGCGGCCAGTCGATACGGAGCCCAGCGGGGCCAGCTTTCATCTGCTCTCAGCGCACACCGAAAGACAAACAGCTGACAGACATTTAAAACAGCTTTATTGAGGCACATACAGTGACGTTCGAGTGCAGAAAACAGCCCAGTGTGTCCGAGCTGCTGGGGTCAGAGGTCAGAGTTCAGAGGCGCTCAGAGAGGAAGCAGTAAAGTGTTTCCTGAGGTTTGCCTCTTGTAGTTTTCTTACACACACACTCATAATACTGCAGCAGCAAACTGAACACAGATCCTACATGAAAAACACAGAGGAGAAACAATGACTGATGGACACGCTCCACAAACACCCTGTGAGTTCAGATACGAGTGTGTGTGTGTGTGTGTGTGTGTGAGTGGGTGTGTGAGTGTGTGTGTGTGTGCGTTTTTACCTACGGTGGCGTGAGCGTCTGTGATCAGAGTGTGTATGTGATGGACGTCTCTGAGCAGATCTGCGTCACCAAACGTGAAGTACATCAGATCACGCTCAACCTCCGCAGCCGCCATCATCTGCAGCACAGCTAAACACACACACACACACACAATCAAATATCCTCACAAATGCTCTTAATCAATCTCTTTGCTTCCATTCTCAGTTTGTGTGGGAAGATCTGCTGGAACACATGAATCAGTCGATGGCTGATGTCAGACGTGAGCATGAATGAAGCCTTTAACTTTCACACTAATGAACACTAACAGATCAGTAGAAGAGTCCGGTGGCATTCTCTAGGTAAATGAGTGAAACAGAGAGCTTGTTTGTTTGGGATTTGGGGTTTAGTGATGTTCACTTTGATCATAACTTTTTATTTTAGGTCGTACCTTTCAGACGCGTGTCTCCACCGAAAGCTCCACAGCCCCAGTTACCGGTCGCGACGGCGGACAGATTCTCCGTCTGGACTCCAGGACGAACAAACCCACAGAAGGCCTGATGGGACGGACAGAGATATGAGTGAGGGCCTGGCAGATAATACTAACTAACCCGTCCCGTCCCTAACCAATCTTCACACTAACATGATTAAAGCGCAAGAGCTGATCTAAGAGTGAGCAGATCTGTCCTCCAGTCCCTTCTCAACATCTTCACTACGTTTGTGAGGAACTGTACTATTATTATTATTATTATTTGTCCCTCATGTATCAGTGATATTGAGCGTCTGCAGCAGATTCATTCCTTCTTTAAACTTAATGAACAGCTCTATGATCCACAATCAATCAATAATGCTTTAGTCTGTTTGTACACAATACAAATATGGAGTCATCATTCATTAGGTTTGAAATTAAACGGTAATTAAAGTTTCCAGTAAAGCGAGTGATGCATCACTGAAGTGCAGATGATCAAAGCGCCACATCAAAGAGCAGAAACAGATGCCCTCCTGCTCATCCGCTCGCATTAATAATGCACAAACCCACCACAGCAACTAAACCAAACCAGTTTAACAGCTGCTAACCGGAGTCACGTGACCACAGGGTGATTTGTTCAGATCCGTTCAGACGTTTCAGCAGTGATTTAATTTTTTACTGTTTAGATGAAGTGACTGGACAGATCTGACCCGCTGCTGTAGTGGGACGTGTCAGTGACCTTGTTGAGTTCTCTGCTCATGTGTTCAGCGTGAAACTGCTCCAGAAAGTTTCTGTAATGCAGGGCGTCTATCGCCACGATCTCATTGCATCTGCGCTTCCACTCGTCCCTGCAGACACAAACACAGCATCAGCGTCTCGGAGAAACACAACAGCAATCACTCACAGCTGTACCGCCTCACACCTGGGCGTCTGGTCGTCATGGTTACCATCCCAGCGGTAGGTATCGGAGTATCCCGAGTATCTGCTGAACTGCTCTGCACCTGTTAACACAACATCATAACACGCATACATGAGCTGAATAATGACAGCTGAAACTGAATACATTTCATAATTGATGAAATGTACAACACTTATGACTGTGAATCTGCTTTGAAACAATCTGTAATGTATAAAATGTCACTTGACTCTTTATCAGTATTGTTTTGTTGTATGAGGGTGGGTGGGGCGAGAGTTCAGGAAACCTGTTTGAAAACAGTCATTATGAAGCACACACAGAGTGTTTGGAGGCTTCAGACTCACTGAACACAATAACGTCCCTCTGAAACGCACTCATTTCAGGATCCCCAGCGAACATCTCTCAGCGTCTGAACATCCATCGCGCGGCGCACCTCCGATCATCAGATCCAGCCTTAACGTCATCTGCAGGCCACCGAGAGCTTCTGCAAATCCAATCAGAGAGTCCTGGCAGCACAGGGTCTGTCCAGCCATCGATCCGGCGTAAAGAGCGAAGCGCGAGCTCCTCCGAAGATAAGCTCATTGTCTTTATTGGAAAGGAAATTAGATAAACGCATTCCTGCTGGGAAGAATTCCTCCTCAGGTGACCTTCAGGAGAAGCTGGAGAAGAGTCTGTCCTTTGTATTTCTGAAGTGTCTTTAGTAAATGATGCTGAGTCTCAGACAGACTGAAGAAAACAGAGTAAAGGTCATCGGACGCATCTCATCTGTGCCAGAGCTAAAACGAGCATCAGTCCCGCGAGAACATTATCATCTCAGGCTTAATGTCAGGCCTTTGTCTCAAACAGCAGCGTTTATTCAGTGAAGGCCTGTGATTGAAATGATTCAGGTCACATTCTGGAGTTTCAGAGATCCGAACCGAAGGTTGTTTGATTTGACTTGCTCTATAACTGAACCCAGCACTTCTCCTTTACGCAGGAACACATACGTTAGCTAGATTTAAAGCAGCAGCATTAATGCTTTCAGTGAGGGACACACTTGCCATTTGCCTTTGGTTTCCCGGCTGGAGATACGTATCGTGACTCACTCGCATCTCCATATCTGCTCTAATGCCACCCTGACAGCGGACAGACGCTCCGCAATCAACCGCAATTCAATTAGCCAAAGCCACTTTGGCAAATTTCAGTACAGCTACAAGAAGATCCATTTTAGGCATCGATGTCTAAGAGCCGAGCGGGGAGCATGATTTAGCACACAGCTCGAGAGAGAGAGAGATAGGGGACGAGACGCAGGGGCCGGGACGTTTTAATAAAGGAGATGTCGTGGCCCCGTGCATTAGCAGAGTGACTCCAGCCGGATAATTAATTCTGCGGGACAGTAATAAAGTTAAGAGCCGTTAGTGGCGGGACAGAGAGGCAGGGGCCTGAAGGTGACTCCATGGAGACGAGATGACGAGCAGCCGAGCCGAGAATACTGATGAAGAGCACAGAAACACTCGCTCTTCAGTCACAGTCCACATGGAGGCCGATACCTGTGCAATAAAACTCCTAAACTCTCACAGATTGCATTCTCATGACTATAGCGGATATTACCGCAAACGGTCATCTCTTCTGAAGGTCCACAACTGTAGCTGAATAACAGTACATCTGAGACTGCAGTGACGCGCATCGTACCGCCTCAAACTCCACGTACTTCTGTTTCTGGATTTAGTCTGAGTGTGTGTGTGTGTGTCTGTCTCTGTGTGTGTGCGTGTCTGTGTGTGTGTGTGTGTGCGTGTGTGTGTGTGTGTGGAGAATACTGATGAAGAGCACAGAAACACTCGCTCTTCAGTCACAGTCCACATGGAGGCCGATACCTGTGCAATAAAACTCCTAAACTCTCACAGATTGCATTCTCATGACTATAGCGGATATTACCGCAAACGGTCATCTCTTCTGAAGGTCCACAACTGTAGCTGAATAACAGTACATCTGAGACTGCAGTGACGCGCATCGTACCGCCTCAAACTCCACGTACTTCTATTTCTGGATTTAGTCTGAGAGTGTGTGTGTTTCTGTCTGTGTGCGTGTCTGTGTGTGTGTGTGTGTGTGTCTGTCTCTGTGTGTGTGTGTGTGTGTGTCTGTCTCTGTGTGTGTGTGTGTGTGTGTCTGTCTCTGTGTGTGTGTGTGTGTGTCTGTCTCTGTGTGTCTCTGTGTGTGTCTCTGTGTGTGTGTGTGTGTGTGTGTGTGTGTTGAAGGGGGGTTGATGAGGAGCCCAGATTTCACAGCAGGAGCAGAACACTCCTGCTAAAGCTTGTTTAATTCACACACACACAAACACACACACACTCACTCACACACTTCTCCCGGTCAGATGGACATGTCCTGATGTCCTGCAGCTGTCGTCACACTAATCTGTGGATTGCTGGTGAAAATAGTTTTACACACCGAATGCGACTCATGAGTGCTCATGAAAACTCATAATTTGCACTCTAAGACTGTAGATAAAGCTCCTCACATCGACGCACGTCTACAGGCTTTAGAATACGTTGCTAACACAGCGCATGTAAAAACTTTTGCATCTCATGCCCGTCTTTCTGCAGTGCATGTGTGTGTGTTCAGTGACAGACGAGTGATTGAAAGAGTCTCAGCAGGTCTGGAGGTTCGAGTGCTGATTACAGTCTGAACACAAACACCACAGGAATCTCAGCGCGACCTTGTGTGTGTGTGTGTGTGTGTGTGTGTCTACCTGTGATGATCAGACACTCGTTATCGTCCAGTGCTTCAGTGAAGAGCCGAGCAGCGATGAGCTCTGGGTTTATCAGGAAACGGATTTCCTCCTGAACCAGACCAGAACCAGTCACTCCCCCCCCAACGAACCGGTTGGCAAAGTCCACCTGCAGAAAAACACACACACACACACACACA